ACCGGCTCTTTTCTCATCTCGAAAAAAACCATAAAAAACCCATTTTTCCACCATTCAAACACCTCAATCTCTTCCAAAATTCTTTCGCAACCTTCCCTTCAACCTCTAACTAGTCCTGCAAAACCCTTTCACCCAAAAACACCACAAAAAACCACATACACAAAAATATACTAAAAATTGGATTAGAAATTACTAAACATGTCCTAACCCAAGATCTAAACCCATTGATCCGTTTACCCGATCAAAAATTTTTCCCTTCAATTGATCATTTTTTGGTTAGTTTGACCACGATCAACACCACCCATGTGTGTATCATCACCGGATCCGTCAATCTCCATTGGTTGGAGGAAGAAATGATCATGGAGGAAAGAGAAATCGGAGATTAAACCACCACGCCTCACCTGCATAAGACTAGGTAGTATCTCTCAATTTCAACTAAATCTTCGAGCTCCACTTAAACGGATCCGGTCATCCTACTCCCCGAGCATTTCCCTTTTGAAATCACGACCCAACGACATTAGAAAATGGTCTAACTAAATAGGACCCTTTTTTGACCCGTTGAGGAGAACCTATAAAAATTGGTCCATTTAGAATGAATCTAAGGTTCTAACTTGTACAGAAATCTTCTTCACAATCTCAAGAGTTGCTCGGTGTGCTTAGAATCCTAAAAAGAGGTCGGATTCATAACTGGTGAAGAAAAGAGATATGACCAAATCTTTGGAGGTCTCCCGACAAAAAAAAAACAAAAAATAATAAAAATTCTTAATGAGGTCCCATGATTGATAGGAACTTTTTTGTATAAAAAATCATCATTTAATAATCATGATATTCTCCAACACATCGATTGTGTCAAGGCTTAAAATAGATACGATATTTGAACCCACATGTCATCCGATGAAGGAGACCAATGATCGTTTTAGTACGATATCATGCCCAAAACTAAAAACTTAATTTGGCTTTAAAAAATTAGACTTTAAAATTATAAAATAATTTGGTGTAAATAAAAAATTTTAGGAGATGGAAATAGGGCTAAACTAGATATGGTACCTTTTTTTCGAAAGAGCACTTTTAGGTGATTAAATATATTTCCAAAAATGTAACCAACTTCTTACCGTATAATCTTTGAACCGAGTGTTACTTTTAGGTTTTTAGTTCCTTAATACTAGGTGGCGACTCCAAACTTGTAAATAAACTTGTAAAAAATCTAACTTTGTAAAATTGTTTTTGGGAGTCCCGTTTGACATCGAGTAACAACAAGAAGTGATAAATTGCATAAAAAGTTGGAAATTAGACCTAATTTCCTTAGGCCCATATTCGGCCCAACTAAGAAAGAAATTAGGGTTTGTATGTTTTTGATTTCTAAATGTTTAATTGATTAATTCTAGTTTAGAATTGCCTAAAAAGATGAGTTAGTACGGAAAATTTGGTTAAAAATGAAAAACTACCCTAGTTTACCTTAATTGGGATTTTGGCTAATTAGACCCAAATTAGGGTTTTTAAGCAATTTGATATGTAAATATGCAATTGATGGTACCATGATGATTTTGATGTGATGTCCGTGCTTGAAATGTGAATTTGGGATGCTTATGTATGATTATATGTGTAGATGGAAAGTCTGCGTAATGTTTAAATATCTAGAGTTATTCGATCATGTGTTGAAATGCGAATTTCTATTGTATCTTGTGGCGATCATATTGTGATTGAAATGTGAATCATGAATGTTTGGTCATGATTTAAGAGATAATATACTTTTGATGATGCATGTTTATAATGTTATAAAATGCAATGTTAAAATTAAATTTTACATGGTGTATGGCATTTCATATGGTATGTAAAACATAATTCATAATCATAATGAACTTGCATTATGTATATGAATATATCAAGTTTATGAAAATGGTTTAAAGTCATGAAAAATATGATTTTATATCAAGGCTTTTCCAAGTAGCAATTGAAAGCATTTTATAGTTATTTGATTTTCATGACTTTCATGATGATGGTTTTCATGTTTTTATAAAAGAGCTTCATGGGTTCCATGACTTTGATGATTTATCGTTCATGGTTTGCATGGGTCTAGTAGATGTGCACCGAGGCTCGACAAGACGCATCCGCGGACTAGTTTGGTTTGCTAGGCATTTCATGGAAAACCCTAAAGTTCCTATAATGGGACATGTCTAAAGATAGAAAAGATTTTTCAGAATAATTTTTTATGAGGATTTTATGACATGAGAAAGAATTTTCAAAAGATATGCATATAATTTATCATATGTATTTCACATACGTGCGCATCATGCATTGATTAACTAACCGAACTATCGCTCACTTAGTTTCTTATGGTGTAGACATTACGGTAATAATGGCAATGTTCACTACCGAGCTAATTACCGAGGGATCCATATGCCATGTGTATTTTGGATATGGCTTCGGTAGTAAAGTGGACCTCCTTCAAGTAGCCATTGTCTTAGTGGTTGATGTTATAGTTTACGTATTGGGTATGCAGATTTATTCTATACGATAGTTAAAGTTATGAACAAATAATTAAGTAAATGGTGATGTAATGTGAATGAGTAAATAAGCTATTTTTGTAGTAGATGGCATAAGTTATTTTTAATGTAAATACTTATAGTTGTATATTACTAGAACTTGAAACAAATAGTACTAGTGAAATGGCTTAGTTATGGTTAGTATTACTTTCTTTTAGTTAACTCTTTATATGCTAATCCCAATTAATAAATTCTAATCACTAAATTAATAAAGGAAGATAATAACATTAAATGGTAATTAAGATGGACAAAGGCAATCAAGTCTCAAATAATGAACAATTCATAAATAAATTCCTACAAATTAATAGAAAAGAAATTTTAGAGAATCAAACGTCATAAATCTAGTCCGTTCAATCTAAGCATTCTAAATAAAACAATAAAATGCAAAAAAATTATAATACAATTTGGATTGAAATGTAGGATTTATTCATCATTTATAGGTTTTCGTAGTATAATCCATACCTAATAGTGTCATAGGAAAGACATAGTGCCTTGTTAGCTTGCATTCATTAGACTTTAAATGTAGGTCAACGATGATAACATCCTCGATCTACAAAGTCCTAGGTTAGAGGCGTTACACTTTTACTCGTTAATTCAATAACTTTCACCTATTATTTTTTTTCCTACACTAAAAAATTCCTTCTATATAAGTTTTAATTTCTTTCTATCGATGTTTTTTTCATCAATCAATTAAGAGAACTAACATTACTATCTAGTAATTATAGTAGCTTATACAATTCAACTAATTAATATTTGATGAAATGAGACTCATTTTATCCTCTTGTAATTTAATCCAAGTATTAAATAAGAAAATCAAGAATATGCATGATTATTAATATTAATGATCTTTTAAATACTAATATATTGATAGAGAAAGAAGCACCATCACCGAGTACTAGTTTCGACTAATTCAAACTTAGCACTTTTTATAAAGCAATTAAATTAAATTATGTGATAAATTTATAATATATCTTGATGCATTAATTAAATAGAACATGGGCATCATAATAGAAATATATATTTTGAAAGATAATGATTTCATTTAAGATGAGATAGTTACCATAAAATTTTCTAAAAAAATCTTTTACCTAAAAAAATCCACAAATTTATTTTCAAAATTCCTCAAATTCAAAATAATTTTTTTTTAATCAAAATGCTCAATAGTTAACCTCTAACTTAACACAAGTTAACTATTTAGTGTTTTAGTAAGAAAAATATTATTTTAAGTTTAAAAATTTTTTAAATAAATTTTTAGATTTTTTAGAAAAGGATTTTTTTAGAGGTTTTTGTTTTTTTTTTTTTTACTCTCCCCATTTTTTAGTGATTCCTATTAATTTTATTAACTCGAGTTCATTGTCATTTCTCTTCGGGCATAGTTTTCCTTTCCTTTTCCTATTATTGTATTTCTCGCTTATTTGTTTTCCCTTCGTTTTTTTTTTCAATTTGAGTTTTTTTATCATTGTTACAACTCTAGGTTTACTTTAGCCAAAACTTGTATTCCATTGAATTATGGAGACTGATGTTGATACTATGATTTACGTAAGCAAAGTAATTCGTAAAGAACATATTTGTAGATGGATTAGGTTTGGGCAATTGCTTACTCATAAACTCTTCAATAGACATATATAAAATTGTTGGAATTAAATAATTTGAATTTTTTAGATTTCTCTTATGAGTAAACACATGTGTCTTTTGATTTTTTTTTCTTTTTAAGTGACTAAGTTCATTAAGAATGTAGGCACTTTGTATGGAATAATTCATGTATTTAGTATTTATTCATGTATAAGATATTACTTATAATTCATGTAACTAGAGTTAGGAGTAACTATTTATACCTCTTGTATTTGGCATTTGAAAGTATGTGAGTGAAGTGAGTATTACAAATATTTCTCCTCTAGATTTTCTCTCTCTCTAACAAAGTGGTATCAAAGCCAAAATCCTAAGAGTTAGAAAAAGTGTTGAGAGAAAAAATTAGAGAAAGCATTACTAATAAAGAAGTGGAGTTCAAATATGTGAAGACTCATAATCCAAGTGCTGATATTTTAACAAAGCCACTCAAATTTGAGGATTTTCGAAGATTAAGAGCAAGACTTGAGGGTGAAGAAGAAAATTTCAAATTAAGAGGGAGTGTTGAAATTAAATAATTTGAATTTTTTAGATTTTTCTTATAACTAGATACATGTGTCTTTTGATGTTTTTTAAGTTATTAAATTCATTGAAAATATAGATATTTATATGAGATAATTCATGTATTTAGTATTTATTATTCTTCATGTATACGATATTAATTATAATTCATATAATTGGAGTTAGAGTATATATATATATATTCCTTGTATTTGGCATTTGAAAATACCTGAGTAAAATAAGTATTACAAATATTTCTCCTTTATATTTCCTCTCTCTTTCTCTCCGACAAAAATACGCAGAGATGAGTGAAATGTGGTTCCATTTTACTTTTCCCATAAACTTTTCCTTGAAAGAAATTGTTCGTTGGGATCGTCGAGCAAAGTCTGCCAGTATTTGATCCTTCCATCTTGTGTATAATTCATATCCTTCAACTTGGAAGAGGGTTGTTGTTACAGTGTCAATCCTCCTTCGACGACCACTTGCAGCCATATGCGTTGATGCATGGAGTTTCAGACAATGCTAATTGCGGAGAAGACGAGACACGTGGCAAATATTTTTAAAAAAGGTACATCAACATTCTTAGAGATAAATGTAATTTGGGAAGGTAATTTCAGTCTATAGTTCGATGTCATCCGGTCAGTTTTAATCGAGATTAAACAAGAAGTTGGCAAAACAGGATCTGGTTTTATCGGAGTTGGATGCGGCGGCGAGAGCTTAACCCGTCCCATCACCTGACTCTGTTTTTTCTTTTCTTTTATTTTTTAATAATTTTATTTATTAATTAATGTAATGCATGGTTTATTTTTTATATTATGATTTATGCATGATTTTTATGATTCTAATACTCATTTTGCCCTAAAAAATTGTTCTTTTTTCCATTTATATCTATTTCCAAATTATTGTCCCGTCAAAATGTTAAATAATGTAATTTTCCAAAATATCTCTAATCAATTTTTTCTTTCATTTCTTATTTATTACTACCTGGAAATTAATATTTTTACATATACAAATATTTTTAACATAAAAAATTTTAATACATAAAAACTATTCATTCTTCTACAAAATCCATAACAGTTTGCAAAATGTGGATTACATTTAAGACAAATAGGAAGTTGCCTTGTATGCTCTAATTTTTGTTTGTTTAAATGAAAAATTCTATATTTGTCCCCACCAAATATTTAGGATTCTTAAATGAAAACTATTCATTAATTTTTTGGCTTAAAATTTTATGAAAAAATAATGTTTCTTTAATAATCTTTAGATCTTTCGAAAAATTTCTAACTTAAATTTGGGAGGGATAAAAATTTTGATTTGGTGTTTTGATTTTAAGAGTAATTTTTTGGCATAAAATTCCATGAAAAATTTTGAAAGCTTAGTGATCTCCGGGTCTTTCTAAAATTTTCCAATTTAAATTTAGGAAGGATGAAAATCTTGATTTGGTGTCTTATTTTTTGAATTTTTTGGTTTAAAATTTTATGAAAAAATTTAGGATTTATTAATGATCTTTAGATTTTTTTTTTTAAAAAAAAAATTCAACTTAAATTTGAAAGGAATAAATATCTTAATTTGGTGCATTAATTTTAGAAAGGCTAAATAAGCTTCATATCTTTTAGAAATTTTAAATCTCAACTTAGTCGCATAGAAGGATATTTAAAAAAAAAAGGATAAAAAAGGCTAATGTGTCAATTAATGTTTATTTTAAACTGTGTGAAAAGTTAAAAAGGATTAAAATTTTGGGACATAAGAAGTAATAGATTTGAAGTTTAGACTTGATTTTTATTGTTTTATGATTCGTGGATAAAGATATAATTTTTTTTTAGTTTACATTTGTTATAAAAAAAAATAGAAATAATAGGAGAATTGAAGAGAAAAATGATGATGAAATGATTTCACTATAAAGAGAATATAAAAGATAACAACTCTAAATAATTCTCATAATCTTTACAAAATGCTTATACACTAACTAATAAACAATCAAGCCTATTTATAGGCTTAAAATTTGAGAAAAGAATTGAAAGGGACTATGAATAATCAATTACATCACCTTTTTAATTTCTCATTTTGAATGATGAATTGAATTATATTAAGAATCATGAGTAATGGGGATATGAAAAGTAGATGACCATGATGATGGACAATCATTATTTCATAACACTCCCCTTCAATGTCCATTGTACAAGGAACATGCCTCGTTAAAACCTTACTAGGAAAAAACCCAATGGGAAAAAATCCTAATGAAGGAAAAAGAGTACAATATTTTTTGTATACATTAATCTCAATGTTGGCTTCCCCTATTGAAAACATCATTTGAGATCTCTAAGATAATGTATTTCAATCTTATGAATTATCTTCTCAAAAGTTGTGATAGGTAATGCTAGCAAATAAATCTGCTAGATTATCACTTTGATGTATTTTTCCTTTAATAGAATTATGGAAACAACATTATCCTTATGTGATATTGTTAGAACTTCTTTTGTTGATAGATAAAATGTATGTCTCTTAGATATGACGGATCGTTGATCTTAGCTAAACACATTCTCGACTTACCTCATGAATTGATATGATTTGAAGATGTGGCAGCTATAGTTTGCTTCATAGAACGCTAAAATATAGTTGTATCTCTATACGTAAATATACAACTAGTTGTGATCAAGCTTTGTGTGGATCAGATAAATAATATACATTTGCATAACCAATTAATCTTGTCTTTGATTTATTAGAATAATATAAACCCATATCAATTATTCCTTGAAGATAACATAGTATATGTTTAATTTCATTCCAATGTCTTCCTATTGGAGCAGAACTATATCTTGTTGAATATTATTAGCAAGATATATCAATGCACTAGTGGTACTAAGATACGATACTTCAGGACCAAGTAGCTCTATTATCTTCTCGAGATTGAAAAAGGGTCTTTTTGGATATCAAGTGAATGAACTACTATTGGGTTAGTCAATGAATGATCTTTATATATAATCATTATAGAACTTTTTTTCTATATAAATTGATTGATGAATAAAAGTCTAATTCTCCGAGTGCTCGAACTGCAGGTCGAGGAAACATTTTTTTCCAATGTATTCATATCAAATTCTCTTTTTAGATAACTTATGACACTTGAAATCTCTTCGGGAGTTTCAATAATATTTAAGTCATCAACATATATAACAAACCCCTTTTTAAATAAAAATATTTAAACAAATAGGGTTAAATTTTTTTTTATAACTTTTTTTTAAATAAATAATCATTGAAGTGATTATATCACATACACAAGGGTTAGTAATAAACGGTAGATATAAAAATAAAATATAAAAAGTATAATATAAATTGAATTTTTAAAAACTAAAATAATAAAATAAATACTAATAATCCTAATAGTGATCTCTAAAATTTAATTGAATTCTTTTCTCGAGAGTATGTATTACATGCTTCGACATGTTAAGTCCTTCTAGGACTTTCATACCGATATTATTTTAAATGAATAAATAAACTCGTGATCATATTTATTAAATGCATGCATATGATTATTTTTTCATATATTTTTTTAAGCTAATAAGATAACAAAAGATAATTGCATCCATTATAAGAGAATATGTCTTCTCATGGTTAATATCAATTCTTTACGAAAAATTTTATGTTAAAAGTTTTTCTTTGTATCTTATAATCTCATTTTTCTTATTTCATTTTTGCATAAATACGATTTGTATCTCACGAGCTTAACATCTTCAAGTGTTTTAGCTATAGGTTCAAAAAACTACTCTTTTAAAAGATAACATAATTCCGTTTGGATTGCTTTTTTCATTTAGGCTAATCATTTTCATGTCGACATTCTTCAATAGATTTTAGCTCGGGATCCTTATTTTCATTTAAAATATCAATTGAAACATTATATACAAAAAATGTTTCTTTTCGGTCCTTATTTTCTCCTTGTATTGACATAATTTATCAAAATCTCTTAATTTTTCTCAAGCATTTAGACTTATTTTGAAAGCCTATTATAAAAAATATCTTGGACTCGTTTTGTGAATATTTACATCCTTTATATTTTCATATTGCCTTTTTCTTTTAGGGATTTTTATCTTTAAAACGGATCGATCTTTTACGCTTCGGGCATGTTTTAGATTCATTAGTTATATCATCAATAGATTGTCTTTCTAAGACATCAATTCTAATAGAAGCATTCTCAACGAGGACATGCATTTTAGTTACTCTTTTAGGATATAAGAATGCATATAATAGTTGGTTTGTAATACCTTATAAATAAATTATCTTCTCAACTTCTATTTCACATTGTTTTGTATCAAACTCGATATAAAGATAGAGTACTCCATGTAATCTCTTTTTCTAATATTTCTAACTACTTATTTTGTTTATTCTCTCCCCTAATGTTGGAAAAACTGTTTCATCAAAATGACGAGTCGATAAATCAAGCTCTAAAAATATTACTTATTCATGATTCAAAATATTTAATTATCGAAAAGGATTCAAATCCAATATATATTCTCAATCTCCTTTAAGTGCTCATTTTATTTCATTGTGAAAGAGCACTAGGGATATACTACTGCAATGTCAAAAATTCTTAAATAAAAAATATGTAGCTCATGACCATAAATCAATTGAAGATGAGGGAATTTCGATAACTTATGGATTTGATGCAAATAAGTGTTGTTGCATGTAAGATTGCATGTCTCGAGATATAAACATAGAGTTTTATTTTTAAATAATGATTTAGCTATCAATTGGAGCCTTTTGATAAATAATTTTTGCTAAACCTTTTTGAGTATGAACATGAGTAACAAACTATTCAACCTAATAGTCAATCAATAATAATTTAATGCTTGAGAAATAAATTCATCAGCATTATCAATGTGACTTATTTGAATGACATAATTTGAAAATTATGCTTGAAATCTAGCAATCTCGAAAATGTCGGGTTTTGAGTAGATAATATGCATATATGTTAACATCTTGTGGATGCATTTATCAAAATCATAAAATATTTAAATGATCTACATGGTGGATGAATTGATCCACATATATCACCTTGAATACATTCTAAAAATACCGAAGATTCAATCTCAATTTTACTTGGTGATGGCTTAATCATCAATTTATCTTGATAACATGCGGAACATGAAAATTCATTAAATTAAAGAATCTTCTAGCTCTTCAATAGGTGTCCATATGATTTTTTAATAATTTTTTGCATCATGAAAGACCCAAGATAGCACAACTGATCATGTCACATAATAAAAATATTTGAATTAGTAAACTTCGGTTTACTATAGCGTTTGTTTCAATCATTTCAATATTTGTAATAAAGATTATAAGAGAAAGTAGATAAATTTTTCAATACATATTTTCTACCCGGTATAATAATTATAATATATAACTATTCACATTTCCTATCTTGATATGATATCAATTTAGATGAATATCTTTGAAACTTAACAAATTTATATGAGACTTTGAAGATAATAGTACATCATTTATAATAAATTTATCCTTTTAGATAATAATATATTTGCTCTTCCGGAGTCTTTAAATTATGTCACTTCAAGTAATAATATATCAACTCTTCTAGAGCTTTTAAAAGTTATCTCTTCAAGTAATAATATATCCACTCTTTTAGAGCTTCAAAAATTTATCTCTTCAAGTCGTAATATATTCGCTCTTCTAGTAGCCTTCAAAATTTATCTCTTTAGATAATAATATAGTTGATCTTCTAGAGCTTTCTATTAGATTGATATTATCATATATAATATTAACATAAAATAAATAAATAAATAAATAAACAAATAAACAAATTCTTCATAATCATAAATAATAAATATATAGTAAAATAAATTTATTATTATCTCTATGCAATTATAAGAAAATATAAAAAAATCTTATTTATAAAAAAAGCTAAGAAGATATTAATTTCAATTATCTCCATTTTGATATATAACATTAGCCTTTATATTTTTTTTCTTTTTCAGCGAGATTTGACAAAGTTTAATGAGGCGCTTTGGTGTATGACATGTATACGACCGATGTCTATTCATATCATTTCTATAACATTCATTTTTAGAATGCTGATTTTATCTATTTTCATTCTTTTTTTTCATGGTTATCCACTTCGGTGGTGAGATGTAATATTATGGTCATCACAATTATAATGATAATTATTTCAACCATGCCCATGGCTAATGATCATATCTTATTCCATGCTTAAAATTATTATAAATTGTTACATTCACTTCGGGGAATAGAGTATATCCAATTGGACGAGATTTATTCTTTTTCATCAATAGATTTTCATCTTATTTAGCCATGAACAAGTATGAAATTGATTCAAAATATTTCTTAAATTCATTTTCTCGATATTGCTATTGCAGGAGCATATTCAAGATATAAAAGTAGAGAATATTTTTTAGAAGCAAGCACTCATAATCAATAATTCTTATTCGAAATATCAAGAGCTACAAAATCGAGTTTATAAGGTTTGGTATGATAAAAATTCTATAATGTAATATATAATAAGAACATTAGAAAATAAGAACAAACATAATAATAAAATTAAAGCTTTTCAAACAACATATATTAGATTAGTAGATTTTATACATTAAATTATTTAAGTTTTTCAAATGCATATTCTATATATCATTATATTTAAAGTACATGATAAATTAGATACATATCTCTTAATGATCTAAATAATTTAGATCTTTTGGTAAAGCACTTGTGTAGAAAAAATCCAATTGTTGAAGTAATTGATTAAGTGTTTTGGTAGATACATACCTCATGGTCTATTGTCTCAATTGGTTAGGACTTCGTGTCGATAACGTGTTATAAAAGAAATAGAAATAATTGAAGAATTGAAAAGAAAAATGATGAAGAAATTATTTCACTATAAAGAGAATATAAGAGAAAAAACTCTAAACAATTCTCACAATCTCTACAAAATGCTTATATACCAACTAATGAACAATCAAGTCTATTTATAGGCTTAAAATTTGAAAAAAGAATTGGAAGGGATTATGAATAATCAATTGCATCACCCTTTCAATTTCTCATAGTGAATGATGAATTGAATCATATTAAGAATCATGAGTAATTGAGATATGAAAAGTAGATGAATATGATAATAGACATTCATTATTTCATAACAATATTTTATTTTTGTAAAAATTGATCGAAAAAAATCCGGGTCAGGTCGACTATTTGTCCGGCAAAAAAAATAGTTCATCGAACTCGATCCGGTATGGATGACGAATTTGGGATATTTCGAATGGAATGTAGATTGAGAAAATCCAACTCCAATATGATTCATTGCCGTCGCTAACTGCAATTGTTTGAGCAAACTTCGGGACAGCAACCAATCCATAATGGAGTGGCTGCTATAATGGCCTCCCTTTTAGGGATGATTTTTTTCAAAAAGACACCTTGTAGATACAAGCTGCTTCAACTTTCAACAAGGGCTCATACGGGAGTTATAATGCTTTATTGATATGTAATGTTGGAGTATATTGACGACAGAAGCGTGTTTTAACTCCTCCTACCAGGCACTTTTTTGGAGGTTTCTTTAGCTCCATGCACTCAACGTTATTGTACTTGAATTTCTATCTAATGAAATTTCTATCAGCTAGCTTTGTTGTTTGGGGGGAAGAGAGAAATGAAAATTGAAAATCCCAAAATAACAAATACCATGCATGAAGGGCGTCCATAGAATTGATTCAACTGCCAACTAAAAAGCTAATTAAAATAGTGCAAAGCTGTTTTAAGTTACCAATCTGATTTGTAGGGGAAATCCAATATAGTGCCTAACCAAACAAATTAAATTACAACCGTGATTGAACATTCTCAAGAACCACCCAAATTGAATCCACCAGTTTTCCTTCTAATCAAAAGCTGAAAATGTAGGGAATATGCGACTCTCTTTATTTGGTGTTTAGTTTCATCCATTTTGGTTTCCTTCTTGTGTTATTTTTCTAGTATTTGGCTTGTCATTAATTTGAACAAGTTAGTCAAATTCATTTGAACGTCCAACAAGAACTATCCATTGCCACAAACTTCCAACCACAAAAATATTTCTACCAACCTTGTGCATTTTATCGTCTTCAACAACCTTCTTTCCATGAAGATCCTTTGACATCTCCAGGTCCCAAGAACTTCAAGGCAGGATGGCCTTTACCAAGAGCAACTCGCCCCCCACCTCCCGAGCCTTGTTGGCACCACCTTGTCTTTCCTCCTCCTCCTCTACTTCTTCACCACCACAGTTGTCAGCATCCGTGTTGTAACCACTAGGCCCTCTCTGGATCTCCTTGTTTTCAATGAAGCACCTTCTTTCCGCAATGGCAATGGATGTGGGTGCAAGGAGACTGATATCATCCATATAGCCATGACTCTAGATGTTAATTATCTTCGTGGAACAATGGCAGCAATATTATCATTGCTAAAACACTCTACGTGCCCCGAAAACCTATCGTTCCATTTCTTTTCTGTTCATTCTGAACCTGAGCTCTCTTCCAGCATCAATTCAACCTTCCCTTGCCTACACTTCAAAATTTATCAGTTCGACCCTAACAGCATCCGAAAGAAGATTTCCAGGTCTATTCGACAAGCTTTGGATCAACCTTTGAATTACGCAAGAATTTATCTGGCCGATATCATACCAGACAATGTGAGGAGAATTATTTACTTGGATTCAGATCTTATTGTAGTGGATGATATAGCATTATTATGGAGTGTGGATATGGAGGATAAGGTGGTGGCAGCACCTGAATATTGCAACGCAAATTTTGCTCTTTATTTCACTAACAGATTTTGGTCAGACCCAAAATTGGCAAGAACATTTGAAGGGCGAAATCCTTGTTATTTCAATACCGGAGTCATGGTGGTTGATGTGTACAAATGGAGAAAAGAAAGATTCAAACAAAGAATCGAGGAATGGATGGCAGTGCAAAAACAAAAGAGGATATATCACCTGGGCTCTTTGCCACCCTTTTTGCTTGTCTTGGCTGGGAACATAAAGCCAGTGGGTCATAGATGGAACCAGCATGGGCTCGGCGGTGACAACTTACAAGGAAAATGTAGGAGCCTGCACCCTGGTCCGATTAGCCTTCTGCATTGGAGTGGCAAAGGTAAGCCATGGTTGAGATTAGGTTACAAGAAGCCATGCATTGTTGATCATCTGTGGGCTCCATATGATCTCTACCGTTCATCAAAACACTCGTTAGAAGAATAACAGTAGTCGATTGAGACAATGAGAGCTAAATTATATTCTGTGAAGTTGGAGAAAGAAGAAGGGAACAGCGAGATAAGAGGTCCCAAAGTAGGCTAGCTATTGCAATGAGAAACTTGAGATGTGAGATTATTCACCAGATGTAAAGAGCCTGAAACAGAGCTTTTGCTCCTGCGATAGACTTAGGTGGGAGGTACCAATCTCCACCTTCAGAATCCGAAAGTCCTCCCTATAGCTTCCATGCAAATCCAGTTAGATTCAAAACGGCATGGAGCCAAAAAAGTGCGAAGATATTGACTTCATTCTTCACCTTTGTCACTTCTACTGTTGCTCTTGCGCTGCCCTTAAAATTGAACTCAATGGAGAGAACAAGATACCACACCAAGATATCGTGGTTTTATGTGATTAAGTTACGCATCAAGTTCTTGCTTTCTTTCTTAAAACTTCGTAAGAGCTAGGAGAGCTATGCACTGTGCACATAGCTTTGACTCTATATATTTCTTTCAGTTTCTTTTTTCTTTCTTTTGGTGCTCTCGTATATCATCTGGTTGTACATATTTCAGTTACCTTCTCTTCAGACATGATCAAGCCATACAGAAGCAGAACTACAATATTTGACAATCATTCTCAATATATGTGTGTATTTGACAATCAACTCTGGTTTATGCCTGTGTTGCATAAAATTTGTAAAATAACTACTCTGTATCTTATCATTGAATTTCCACCCCAAGTTTACTACATATCTACGCTGAAACCAGAAATGTTTATCCAAAGACCATTTTTGGCCACATGAATGAAGACATCAAAGCACACAGCTTACGTGGAATAATTCACGAAATTCAAAATTCTGTCAATTGCTCCTTTATATAAAACGAGTTGCAAATGTTTTGATGGAGTTGCACAACTACCATAAACTCAATACTGAAAAACATAAGACATCAGAAACTAGAAGTAGATGACAGGTTGTGTTAGATAATGCCTTGAAATCTCCCAGTAAATGTGGTTACTACATTGTCTCTATCACAGCATTAAGAACCATCAGAAAAAATGTACCTTTTCGAAATTGCAAAATGTCAACAACTGTCCATTAAACAACTCCTCAACCAAAATCCCCTCATTTTTCACTCCGATTTTTAAACAAAATCTGCCCAATGAAAAATGATGCTTGTATTTCTCGAGTATGCTAGTATGAAATTCCTGTACATGCAAAAGTTAATTTTTAATTAGTAGCAATTACCCACCAGCATACATAATATTTTAAGCTATTCAAGCAGTGTACGATCAATTAACTAACCACAAGTATCTTTTTCATCAGATTGTTCTAATACGCTTATATTCCTTGGTTGCTGCCTAATTCTACACCTGAGCCATTGCTGCAGATGGACACTTCCCCAAAGTATTCCACAATATATAATCCCCAGAAGTAACCTGTTAAAATAAAGCAAAACATAATTTTAATAATGGGTAAAGATAAATAACATTAAAAAAAATACAGTAGATGGATTTATAATATATTTTCATTCAATGTCAGCTCAAATGTCAATAAAGAGTCGGGGAAAAATGAGGGCTTTGTTTCTCCTTTTGATGGAGACTTGACGATCACAAGATGTATTGACCGTATTATATGAAGAGAAAAAGTAGTCAAAATTAAATATTGGATGTCTCAAAGAGGCGAGAAGGTGAAGACAGGATCAGCACAGCAGGGGAGAGTATTTAGAGATTCCATCAGATCAAACTATGACCATCAATTCACCAAAGTCTACAAAGAATCTCTCCTTCTCAGTGAACTCAACAAACACTTACGCACTATTTCACAGCATTGAACTGACAGATTTTACAGTAAAACAGTTCCAACTGAACTCTGAAATATCTACTCCAGTTTACAATTTTTGTTTGCAACATCAAACTTGAAATAACGGGATTCTGAAGACAAACTTACCTGAGATGAGAACTCCACAGGTGCTTTAACAGCCGGATAGATGCTAACCTGCATAGAGACCACATAGTATAACAACATGAGGAAGCTCTTCAAAGACCATTGCTATATGTATTTGGAGTGTCTATTTTGCCAAAAAAAAAAGGAAAATGTCATTATGAGTTTACAATATTCAACTTTTGAGTTGCAGGGGGAGAGAGATCACACTGTTCCAAGCTAGGAACCATTCTAACCAGAAAAGGTAGAGAATGCAAACATATGTTCATGCACACAAGCAAGCACAAACAAAATCCTTACAAGAATTTTGGGAATCCACGAATTTGCCTTCAAAAAAAAAAAAAAATTGGAAACCTTGCTTCATTTAACAGAAGGACCCAAGTTTACCCTGATTTTGTTTAAGGTCTATTTGCACTGAATAATTGGTTTAGGGACTGTTTAATATTTACTAATTTATTAAATCATCTTTATAAAAGAAAAGGTGAGAATGACGTGCAAAACACATGCTAAAATGACTAGCTGATATAAAAGTCATTGATTAGATTAGAAAACTAAATAAATATGATTTAAGTCATTGCTAAAAAGTCTTTTTATGTATTCATACTCCACTCATCTAAATAGGAGAAAACGATGTGAAGCAAACACCATAACAATTAGTTGGTCTACATAAGGTGAAAAGTTAAATGAAGTAACAAACTTACAGATTTAGGATCAATAGACATCCCAGATAATGAAGCCCCAGCAATCCTAAAAGATACCTGTAATGAAGAGTTAGAAATATACTAGCTAAACGTGATGTCAAACCAATAACAATTTCAGTTCAGTATTACAACAACACATTTTATTCTGCAACTAACATTTATTCAACAACTACTAAATCCAGACAATCGCAAGATACCACAACATTTTTTCTGATAACTGTTCATTGCTATTTATCGTCCAGCATCTACATTAATGAAATGACCAATTGAAATATAGAAGCAACCAAGGAAAGAACAGATTACTGAATGATGACTATCAACAACAAAAAGATCAAACGACAACCAGATATTTAAAAGGCAGTCCAGAAACTTCCAGGAAAGAAATACTAGAAAAATTGAAACCAAATATCCCATTCCTCGTTAATGAAAAAGTTAAAGCATATTGAAAGAGTACAGGCTATGCATTAGGAAAGGTAATTTCTTTATTTCATCGAACTAATCGAAGGATAAAAAAGTAAAGACAAAGCACATACTTTAGCATAACTGTATGCCTGCCAGCAAAATGGCTCCTCTAGATCAACTGGAGGAAGATCCTTGCTCATCTTTTCCATCAAGAATTCCTCCACATTTGCCATATTGTTTGTACTGTCTATCTCAACATCACTATCTTCATCACCCATTTTTCCAAAGCCAGAGTTAGAGGAAGGCAATCTTTGAATTTGCCATGGGGCAAACCTGACTGTTCCAGGGAAAGTTGCTTCAACACTTTTCCCAGAAAGACTCCGACCACTTGCAATGATTTTCCATTCAATCGAGTACTCTGTGTTTAAAACTGCTCCAACAGAAGGGGTCCCATCAAAAGAAACAACCCTTCTCCTTGGGAAAGGCATAGTCACTGTACAGAATTCCATTGTCAAAGGAGCCTTATATCCCTCCATTAGATGCAACTTGAATAAAAAAGCACCTTCATCCTCAGAGACCATTGACAATTGGTAAAATCCCTTTATAGGAGGACCATGGCCACAATTGGCCTGATAACGCACTAAAACAAAATTGCCTAATGGTGGTGAAAACATCACAGCTTGCTTATCAGCACCATGTTCTGGAACTTGAGCACAGGGATGGAATGATAAAACCTCAACGTGAGCCTTGTTCAATCCTGTCAAAGGAAGTGATACATCAGGCAATCCTTCCAATTCTGCTCGACAGTTTATTTGACCTGAGACTGATATGGTATCTGAAATCTCCTCCCGGTCATACATGGCAGCATGAATAGTCTCATGGATAGTGAATAGAATTCTTTGCTTTCCTTTGAAAAGATATGGTTTCCATGCTGGTTGCTTGAGATCTGCAGGAGGCAGATCTGATGAAGAAAAGCCATTAGCCTTGATAGCAGAAATATTGGAGTGGTTGAGGTCTAAAGGAGTACCTGCAAAGAAGATAGACAAACACCCAACACATCAAACAGAATTAGGTATTCACATACTGATACAGGAAGTAAATGCTATAGAAATTTGATACCAATGAAACCATAATTAGAAGAACGAACCAAAAGGCATTGCGCTACTGATGAAATTTCGAAGTGTATCTTTATCCAAAGGCCTTGAACCAAGTTTTGGAGTATCAGCTGTCACAGTCCCAATTGAAGCAGTGCCAGAGGGTGTGGCAGATGCAACTGGGGCAGCCACTGGTTTTGCCCTAGATGATATACCTGCTATCCCTATGCTCCCAGTAAGAGAATCCAACAATCCTCCCACAGATGGTGCTGCATTCACAACCACCTCAGGTTCTACCACATCACCCACAATTATGTCACCAATAGCATGTGCCACCAAGAATGCCCTGTAATAAAAAAGAAGAAAGCAAATGATCTCAAGTTCAAAGTTCAAAACAATTTGAATGCCAAATCAAAGTACAATCCAAAAAATTGGGTGATTCTCTTATCCGTTTAGGTCTGTTGTGCACATGTGACAAAATTATAAATATAGGGTAAGGATCAATTTAACCAGTGTTTATTCTGTGGGATTAGAACTGCAATTTTGAGAGGATTTACAGCTCAAATTGCTACATGAACATCCTGTGAGTATATTTACTAGATGATACTACCAACAGCCACGAGGTGAGGAAGATAAACCAGAGGGGTATTCATACGTTGGTGGAAAATAGAGATACTATAAAAGCACCAGCTACCACTGTCACCCGCCACCCAGCAACCAGCAATTGCCAGTTGACAATTTTCTTTATAATTTTCGTTCAACTATCTGACAATTTTCTTTATAATCTTCGTTCTACTATCTGATTTTCTTTCTTCATTAGAGCAAACAATTCTAAAATCATTTCATTACCAAACTCAGGATATACTTACAGGAATTACGCTATCTAGTTAGTAAATCCATCCTATATATCCCACACACCAAACCGCACCTTAAAGTTCAGTTCATAACAACGCTAGAAGCTAACAGTTAATGTGAATACACGCACATCGCTTCAGCAACATCACAAAAATGATCAATATTTTATTTATTTATTTATTCTCAAAAGTTAACTTACCATACCCTGTGATGGATGGGACATCAAGCAAGATAGAAGACAAACTTGCATCCACTCCAACAGCATTTCCGCAGTCCGATTTCCTACATAACTTGGAGTACCCCTTTAAATGCACCGGCTCAACCAATGGCAACACAAGAATTACATAACTTCCCCTTAAATGCAAAATCAAAGGCCATAACAAATGATTCTCTCCTCTCTCTTCCTTTGACTCTACATTAATACTTATTACATGCCGCGTAATCGGATCATCTACCCATGAATCCGAGCCTTTGACTGATTGATTCACACGAATACCGTATCCTCGCAATGATCCCTCACTGTAATTACACAATTAAACCAGTAATTACAGGGTAATCTTGTGATAATTGAAGTGTGGAGAAGAGTGCAATTTTAAGAATTGAAACTGACCGTTTCTTTCTTTCGACAAAAGCGGAAGATAGTTCGGTGTCGTTCGGGAGAAAAGGGTAAACACTGTACTTGAGAGTATCTTCTTCTTCGTCGTTTGAGGTGTCGTTTATGATCTTGCAAGCAGCACGCCACTGCTTCTCCACCACCGGGAATTTCCTAAATTTAAGATCACGATAGAATAGAATAGTCGGTAATAGCAATTATTGTTACTATGAGGGAAAAAAAAGGTTGAAATCGACGGAGGAGATACCTGGAGAAAACGACGGCGTCGAGATTGTTGAGGATCCAGAGAGCTCTAATGCTGCAACTGCTAGGCATGACTTTTTCCCTTGTTGATAAATGGAAATAACAGAGAAACCATTTGCTTCAAAAGCTCGCGGAGAAGAAGAGGAGAGATGCACGTGGCCTGCTGTTTCCCCACTTCTGGAAATACTGATGCGCCGTATTTGTTAAGCTGTAAAACGATGCCGTTGCCTAAAGCTAATCCCAATTTTTTCACAATTCTCTTTAGCTTTTAACGGTCAGAGATCTTTATCGGGTCTTGGGATTATTTTTTTTATATATATGATTTAAAATTTTTAATTGAGTATTTAATTTTTTTCCCCCTAAAATTTTAATATTTGTTGCTTTCACCTAGTATTACGTGTCTTTCCTTTTATTTTTTTATGGCATAACCAACGCAATAGTGATGTCACGGTTGACCTGTAATTGATGTTTGGTTTCCGCTGCTATTTCCTCACTGGACCGAAACTGATTTCTCGTTTAGTAAACCTGCTTTATATGCATTGATATTATATTTTAAGTGTTTGAACTTTTTTAATATTCATAATTAAGTATCTCAACTTTAATTTTTATCTATTAAATTGCTCATTTACTGATAGCCATATAATCAAGTATCTTGATAAATATCAGTTAGAAATTTATTGATGTATCCACCAAATGATAAAATCTATACCAAATTTTTATCAAAAAAAGGGTCAATATTTTGAGTTTAATTTTGTACATGGCATACTTGAAGCGAGATCAATTATATGATTTTAGTGTTTATATCATCATTTTAATAAATATGTCCATAATTTTTTTTATATGAGAGGTTCTTGAGAATTTATCAAGATACATAAAGAGTTAATTTTATGATTTATAAAAATAAAAGTCAACCAATCCAATATAATATGTACAAATAGTAAAATGTATGCTAAAAAAAATATGTTAAAAGATATAAGTTGAGTGGCTACCAATTGGATAGTCAAGATTCACTCAGATTGGTTTTAGGTGATGTATGATATACAAGCAAGAAAATAAAAAGAATAAATATTGAATTTAGGTGATATATGATATACAAGAGAGAGAGTATAAATAGTAAAGAGAGAGAGTTTATCAAAGAGCTTGTAATCCGATTATAGTAATATCTTATAAGAAATAATGGTTCAAATTATAACAGATTATTTCTGTTTGGATCTTTAGGTGTATATGTTAATTGTGTAAGTTATAAATAAAGAGAGAAAGGTAAAGTTTAAAAGTTTTGCTAAACATTCAAGTTATAATTTCATCAAAATTATGCGAGGTTGATATTTATAATAAATTAAAAATAACTATTGATCATTAAAATCATGTCACATCATTCGTATTAAAACATTCAAATTTGAATTGAAAAAAAAATAATTTTTTTAGACCAAATTGTTTTCACTCTCTACTAAATGTTAAATGAAATAATAATTGAATTTTTTTTTAACGAGCATTACTCTAAACTTACCAAATCAGTCTTTTTAATACATTTAAAAAACAAGATATAAATACTAATTATGTCATAATACATGTACCTATTTTTGTACGGTATAAAACTTTGTATTGAATTAGATCTTTTTTCAATCCAATATATTTATTATGTAGTTTCTATTCATACAAAAAAAATTAAAATAAATAATATAAAATAATACATAATAAAATTAATTAATTATTAATTATTTTATACTAGTAAATTAAACATGTACGATTTTAAAAGGCATCTAACGGGACATTAGATTAAGTTGTTATGAACAGGGGAACGAGTCAATTAAGAAAAATTAAAGTTCATCCATCCAATTGTAAAAAATCTAAAATTAAGACACTTTAGGAAAAAAAAGAAAAAAGGAATACTCCTACATGGATTAGGTAAGATAATAAATTTGGTAAGAGAACGTTACATCGAATCTGTCATACATAACATTCTTTCGATTCTACTGCATTTCCAGGTTCTTTCTTTCTTCCTGCTGCAAATTATTAAACCCAAAATCCATCTCTCACTGTCGAACGAAACACAGGCAGACGACAGACAGACAGAAGCAGAATATTATAAGAGGAAGGCAGAGTGATAAAGAAAAGGAGGAATAGTATTGTTTTGATCGATCGGTAGACGAGATGTCCTTTTCATTCTTCAAGGTGTCACGGCCAAAAACACCACAAGAAGTGGTGAAAGCAATGAAAGATAGCCTCGTGGCTCTTGACACCAAAACCGTTGTCGAAGTTAAAGCCCTTGAAAAGGTCTCTCTCCCTATATATATATATATTTTTAATGATTTTTTTCCTTGTTATTTGGTGGATACAGACTAATTTTGCTTGTATTATTAGATTGGATACAGACTAAATTACTCTCTCTCTTTTTATATAATGTAATTATCCTTCAATTGTGAGAAATATAAAAAAGAAAAAAAATCTGTTGGTGGTTGTCAGTATATATTGATGTAACTAAGCATTTGTTATGTAAATGCTAGCGAAATGCAATTGGTATTAATTGTTTGATTACAAGGCAAAAATTAGTGTTACAATTAATTGTTTAATTGATTGATATTTTGCATGTTATAACAGGCATTGGAAGAAGTAGAGAAGAATTTTGTGACATTGAGATGTATGCTCAGTGGAGACGGGGAGGTTGAACCGAATATGGATCAAGTGTCACAATTAGCACTTGAAGTTTGCAAAGAGGATGTTCTTGCTCTTATGATTCACAAGTTACCTAATTTGGGATGGGAAGTAAGTGCTACAGCTACTAACCCATTCCCATCATTCACGCATGCATTCGTTTAGGTTTTTTTTTTTTTTTTTTCCTCGTTGCATATTATGATTTCTTTTCATTTTGAACTGCAGGCGAGAAAGGATTTAGTCCATTGTTGGTCCATCTTGTTGAAGCAACAGGTTGACTCCAGATATTGCTCTGTAGAATACATAGAGAACCATTTTGAATTTCTAGACTTTCTTGTTGTGTGGTAAGCATACAAAACTTGTTTCTATGCTCTCATTAAAAGATGATATTTTGTGTCTTGTGCACTTTTGAGATATAGGTCTTTGGTTGATTGTGATTATTATCTCCTTTTGGTATGGGTTTTTAATCTCTTTGTAGCCTTCCTGAGTACTGCCAAGTGAATGTATTTTCTGCCCAAGAAGGAAACAGAGTTCTTTCATCTAAAAGAACTTGAATTTTGTATGTATTACAAAAATGTAATTCAAAATGATAATGTTGGAAGGAAAAAAAATTGAAAGAAGGGAATAAATGATGTCAAAGATCCTTCTAAAATTTTGTTATAAGGGTATCATAAGAGAATACTATCAAAGCCAGTGATGTGTCCAAATTAGTGTGTGTTATTTTGGTGCCTGAAGTTGTTTGTTTCATGATTATTTTTCCAGTCAGAAGGCTTAAATCATACTCGCATTTACTGCTATATTTGTAAGCTTTGTGATGCAGGAAAACTTTGGGACTGCTTTGGATCTGATTTTCAGTTCAGTGCTGTGAACAGTGGATGTGTTGGAATTCAATAGAGGTTGTTTGATGGTTGGAATAAGGGATTTGAGTTGTTGGAAATTGTAGAAACTATTAGAGACACCCCAGTACGATTTCTAGGAGTCACACCTAGAGGATAGAAAACCTAAGCTTCATACCTAAGGGAAGATTGAGTCACAATCAAAAGCAAATTGCTTGAAATTTTATTCAGAAACTGATTCTCTCTGTGTATGGAAGTATTACATAACCTTTATATAGAGTTCCTAGGATTTATCTTCTTATATAAGAAAATATTATTTGTCCTCATTACGCTTTATCACTGATAAAATACTAAATAGCAAATAAAACCTAGACCTAGACAATGTTTTCAGATTTTTACGCAAATCTGGAAATGACAGCTGCAAAAGTACATTATTTTGCTTCTTTTGTTGTTTGCATCACTTTTTCATATGGAGTCACTGTGAATAAGAAATTTCAGTAGGGTTATATTTTATGAGATTTAATGCTTTTCTCTTTGAACAGCTATGATAACAAGGAAATTGCCCTGAATTGTGGACTTATGCTAAGGGAATGCATAAAATTTCCAACTCTTGCAAAGTAAGGCATTCGAGCTCTTTTTTATCTCTCTGGTATAGCCAAAACTCTTATATGTTTTAAATTGATGACATCAAAAAAGAAGCTTTATTGTTATTCTTGCATGATTGATTAGTGTACAAAAGGAGTATTGTTGAAATATGGAAACATTGACTCTTGTGTGCTTGCTTTTGGTGTTTATGCGATGCTTCATCTTCATGAATCTTTGACATGCTTTGACATTCTCGTGGTTTTTATTTATGATCATCAGTCACCATTGCCATTCTCCATTAGATTACAACCATACTCATAGGAGGGCTTTCTTGAAGTGAGACTTCAGATGGGTCTTTGAATCTATAGCATTAACGTGACCTATAAGTGTGAGACAGCAAGAGGTTTGGGTTCTCATGAACAATTCCTTGCATGGTAACCGTTTCTCATGCACAGTGAGAAATTTTGACCTTCATATGGGAGAGAGAAGTTTTATAATGCGTCAGTAAGCATGAGGAGTTGCTTATCCTTTGTACCGTGAAGAAATACAGAGAGAGATTTATGCCTGTGGAATTGTGAATTTCGATACATTATTTGGTAGAACTCCTTCCTATATAATTGTCTTGTATTTGATTATTTGATGTTTATAGCCCAAAGCTCTTTTCTAAAGTTCAAGGTTCTTGTAAGAGCTTCCCTGGAAAATAGGAAAAAAATAACACTCTAAGTCCAAGTACCTGCGAGCTGGGGGTGTTTAAAAACTTAGTTTTATTTGGTACATCAACATAGACTTTGGGGTTTCCCCTTTTATCCAGGTTTTTTTTTTTTTTTTTTTTTTTTGGCAACATAGGGTTGCTCCTCTTTTTATTAGGTTGTTCTATTATAGATCAGTTACATATTGAAAAAATTTAAGCCTTTCTACAATCTCCATCCATGCCCTTTTGGGGTTTTCCTTTATTTTGAGCTTCTAGCTGATTTCACAGGGATCTGTTTTGTCATTTCTATATGTTTGTAAAAAATCTTTCATGATATCATCTCCATCAATGTAAAGGACTGCACATGCGTGACCTGGGTTTCATTAATTTTTTTTTTTATGTGCTCGTCGGTTTTTGCTTCTACCCTGGTCCATGAGATCTTTAGTCGATTATGGAAATTTGAACTGTGCTCTTTACTTCTAAAGTTATTTAATTCCAAAAGTTGACTGCTTTGGCACTGCATAAAACATGATAGATTAACTCATTTAACGTAGAGATGAATGGCCCCAGTTCCACTGATCTTTTGATGCATAGCAAGCCAGGAAATGCCAGCTTAATGAAAATTGATAATTGTTAGTATATTGCTTTTCTGAGATTCTGAGATTGAAATTTCTGAAAGTTTCAATTCTAATAATTATTCAAAAGTTTAAAGTGGCTGTTACATGCAATGCTGCTTTTGACATCTGATTTTGATGCCTTACTTCTATATGACAAGCAAGTTTCAAGTTTTCACACATTCAGTTTTTGTAGTGATGTTTCAGATATATACTAGAGTCTGCAAGCTTTGAGCTGTTCTTCAAATTTGTGGAATTGCCTAACTTTGATGTTGCATCTGATGCTTTCTCTACTTTCAAGGTCAGAGTTATAAGTTTGTAAGTTCTTGTGTTTCTTTTTCCTTTTTTATCTGTTCAAATTTTGTGCGTCTAGTTATTCCTACTTCTTATATTTCTTGATGTGCTCGCCAGGATTTACTGACTAAACATGGCACTGTGGTTGCTGAGTATCTGACTGCACAGTATGATGAGGTACACTTGCTTGTCAATTTTGGATATGATTCTAGACAGATCTAGGAAGACCAATCTTGGCCAAAATGTTGCTTACAATTTTTCGATCTACCTATGTTGGTAAAAGAATATCAAACTACAAAATCTGCTTTGGACAATAACCTTTTTTTTTGTGATGATCAACGAATTATATAACAATGTGTAAATTGCAGTAACCATGTTAAATAACTCCTAATATTTGTCTAGTCTGTCAAGCACATCTACTACCATAATAGCTCTTTTTTCACAATTATCTTTATTTTCACTCTTGCTTGTGTAAGAAGTGTCTCTTAGCTAATCTTAAAGCACTACTGTTCCAGTTCTTTGATCAATATGAAAAACTCTTGACGTCTCCTAATTATGTGACAAGAAGGCAATCATTGAAGGTTAGTTTCCACTGTACTTTTCAGATATCCTCTGCTGTTGCTTTGATCAGTAAGTTAACAGTATTATGTTGATTTAGCTTCTCTCGGAATTCCTTTTGGAACCTCCGAACTCTCATATAATGAAGCGCTACATTCTAGAAGTAAAGTACTTGAAAGTCATGATGACTTTGCTGAGGGTATGGTCTTTTCTTTTCCACTTTTTATTTCTTGTATGTCAATTTTGATGTTATTTTGTTGTGTGACTGATTGGATGTACTGTGCAGTCGGAAGAAACCATATGTTTTTAATTGGCAATGCTATCTTTATCAGGCCAAAAGCTACTAAGCATGTAAAAATCCTCTGAATGGTAGAAAGCCCTATAAGACATGATATTACTGACCTATAATGCCTGGAAACAAGGGGCCACTTCAGTATCAAAGCTTTGAAGTTTTGATTACTGTTAGTGGGAACATAATTCATTTTATGTTACTGAAAAAATGTACCTAAAATATGAGTTCTAGGATCACTTTGTGTTTCACCAGGCTTCTGTCTACTGGAAGTCTGGAACACTTTTCTCTCATTGGAAATTATAACATTTTGATGCCAATCTAGCTCAAAGCCAATGAATGGTTTAACTGTCTTGCTTTGCCTTATCCTTAGGGACACAGTTAAGAAGGGCTTGTCCCCTCACAGCATGATGGGTTGTGGATACAGAGGGTTCTCTGTTTCTACGAACTAAACCATTTTTAAAAATTTGGCCTCCTAGGTTATAAGATTTTTCATTTTTTATGGGCCAGGGTGAGGGGGTGGGGTGTGGTGGTGATGGTTGGGGGTGTGGGTGTCTGTTCAACCTGGAATATAGGATATGCATTGTAGCCACCAGAGCTTCATGCTTTTATGTACCTGTCTGATAAGTGGTAAGAGTAGTTCTGGTTTATTCAGGTTGTCTTGTACTATATTATATATGGCCTTTCTGTATTAGATCTATTTTGATACGCTCCATCTTTTTTGTAAGTTTTCATTGTCTTTGACCTTTATGTGTGTTTTTTCTTTCATTTAACTGGGCAGGACTCGAGCAAAAATATTCAGATCTCTGCTTTTCACATTTTCAAGGTTCTAGAATCTTCCTCACCTTTTTTTCTTTAGTGCATGCATTTATTTTTCTAGTTGTGCTCTAGGAATGGTCATATGCAAGGACATTGATTTCCCCATGCTAACATATCATAATTCAATCCCCTGGCCTTCAAATTGTTCCAATACCATTAGAACCAAGGACATTGCTAATCTAGAATATGCATAACATTGTCTAATTTTTCTACCCCCTTCCAAAGCCTAAATTGATCAGGTTATAGAGGAGGCCATCAGCTGCACTTGCTGTCTGATATGCATCATCTCCTGCAGAAATTTCCTTTCATGTTAAGTTTTGCGGTGACATGATACGGATCATGTTTAATGGGCAAGTGAAAAACAAAGAATGCATGACATGGACTCTCTCCCTTTCTTGTTCCCTCTTCTGCTTTCTTTATCCTCCAAAAAGGCTTTCTGTAGTGTGGTTTTTTTTTTCCCGGGGAATTGTTGTATTTTTCAGTGCATTTCAATTGTCTGAGTTGTTTTTCTTGTATTAGTTGTATCAGCACTACCCGAGAAAACATGTCTCTAAGGTTATTTCATACTGGTCCTTTTGGTGTGCTTAGTCTTATGATAAATACAAATAGTCATGTATATATTACCATCTTTTTAGCAAAGAAAAATTTTCAGTTTACTTAATTTTTGTGAAACATTCAGTGGTTGTTCAATGTCTTTGTGAATGCAATCATCTATTTAATTTCCACAGGGAACATAGACACCGTCTCCATTTTAGGTTTCACTGCTATAGCAGAGAGTCCTAGTCGATGCAAGCAACTTCTACAACGTGTTAGGATATCTCTCTGAATGTCTTTTGCTTGCAATCTGCATTCAAATTCATCTTTGATCAAGATGGTTACCCCAGCTGTTCTTTTTTCTGTTGTGCCTCCTTTGCATAATGCATATCCTAGACATGGCTGTTGAGTAGACATGAGTGATAAACAGAAGACAACATGCATTGACTGCTTTCATGTAGATGGTTAAAAATAATTTGCTTTTTCTAAATTAGCCTGGTTGAGTTACAACTTACAATTACAGATTTTTCATACCTTTTCCTTGATTGTCTTTATGCTTGTGAAACACCAATTGATTGAGAGGTGATGATGCTGTATCAAAATTATGTGATTGAGGTTGCACTTTTAGCCTCATCACCTAATCTGTTGAACTCTGCAGATAGCCAAATTTTGTAACGTCTGGTGCACCTTGGGCAGTATCACTAGTCGACTTTTTGTTAAATGCACATCAACTACATATCCGTTATTTGCCTTTGACAATGAAATTTTTTTGCATAAATAGTCCTTTATGGGTCCAAGTGTTAAATACTGTCTTTGTTCTATGCACAGATCTTTGTTGCTAATCCTAACAAGCCACGAGAAGTAAAAGTGATTTTGGCAAAAAACCATGAAAAATTGTTGGAATTGCTTCATGATCTCTCAGCTGGAAAAGGTAATTATGCTTTCGAATTGCACCCGGAGTGCTAAGTGGCACTAGATACAAAATGGGTCATGAAATTTCCTTTGATATTGTTTTAGTAGAAACCTGTCAAATTTTGAAATTCCTACTGTGGACATCTAACATATTGTTCTCTTCAGGTGCTGAGGATGAACAGTTTGAAGAGGAAAAGGAATTGATCGTCAAGGAAATTGATAAACTATCTCGACTGTCAAAACTTGATCATTAGGTTTTTATCCTAATTGCTGGCATTTACTTTTCTACTCAGATCCTGTTTCAGGTTCATGCTAATCCTGCAACGATTGATTTCCTGCAATTGATATTTGTGCAAAAGTCATCGTTTCAAGGCACCAGTAGGAAACAATATAAATGAGAATTGCATGCCCTTGTAAAATTTGTTGTCTAAGAAGTCTTACTGAAGTTCATCCTGCCATTTGGTCTCGGAAGTGTGTTTAGAGTTTTGGTTTTGAGTGATCATAGGCACTGTATTATAAAGAAACTCAGCTACCCCTATTGCTTTGTGCAAGTGTTATGAGGTTAAGGCTTGTTTTCCCATTGAGCAAAGATTAAGTTTGCTATACTTCTCTGATCCAACCATTGGTGTTTGTAACTTGTATACAGCATTTCCTACACCTTCAAATTGGAGTTATGCCAACTTGGTAATTCTAAAGCATTGGAGATGGCTTCTTGATGCATGTTGATAAATTCAATAATATGAGAATGCAAAGTGCATTTTATATTACCTTTTCTTGTTTGGTTATATATATATATATATATATATTTGGCCATGCTGGTGCCAATCAACGCTTGTGTATGTATGAAATGCACGAATTAATTTTTGGCTAATTGTTTCAAATGAAGGAATTGTAGATGTAGTTAAGGATGCCTTGTAATGATGTAACTTTTAATTCTTTCTCGGCTACTTGCTGTGGAAAATGTGTGCATGAGATGACCGAAATGAGTCTTATGTTCAGAGGAATGTAGAATTGTCAACCATGTGCAAGAGGTGACATGGATGGAGGATGGTTGTGGGCACCTCATTTGGTGACATAACAAAATTTACCATTTATCAAATTGATGACACAGCTCTGAAGTAATGAAATTTGATTGCTCGGGCCACGAGGCATTCCATCTCTTATCTTCTCCCGATTCATGCTATTTCACTGATGTGAGACAAAGTCTATGTTTAATTCAATTGACAGAATTTTTTTATTCGAAAAAAGCTCCCCACAACTCTGAATCCCAGAGAGGGTCTAACTTCCTTAAAAACAAATCCCAATCAATTCTTTACAGTAAAGTAGAGTCAGTGCAAGTATGCACCAGAAAAGACATAAATAATTAGATTAACAGTGTATCCAATGTTGGCTAAAAAAGAAAAACTACTCCGAAGCAACTCTTTTCTAACCAAACATACTTATAATTTTTCTTAAAAGGTTAAAAAAAAAACTAGTTAAATCAATTGGCAAAGGTTATACCAAAATTGAAGTATGTTCGTAGAACTGAAATGGATGAACTGCAAGTACAAAATGAACTCTCATATCAGGTTTACAGAACAGTAGCAGCATACTAAAAGTCCTCATTTACTAGTTATTTCAGTTTAATGAATGTAATTCCTCTGCAAGCAATTTAAGTGGGATCAATTTGTACTTACATTTATGAAATCTAAGATCCAATTTACTTGAGCCTCTGAAAGGAAGATAAAAAGATAACATGTACAAATTGCAGCATAATGAAAAACTAAATGATAATTACCGCTTATTAATAATCACTTAACAGGCAAATCATCTTCATCTTCTTCTTCAACATCCCAACTCAAGTCCTCCTCTTCTTCTGCAGTACTGAACCGCTTATGCACTTCAACTCTGCTTGTACCCACACTCGCTGTGCTCCCAACAGCTTCCACTTTGTTCTCATCATTACTACCAACATCTTCAATCTCATCCCAACCAAGATCTTCCTCCTCCGGCAATGACTGGCTCGAAACAATTGACACATCACTATCTTTACTAGATCCACCATTATACCCCTCCTCCTCTAACTTATCCATGCCTCTCTGAGCCCCTTCATCCTTTTCCTTCTCAATTAAATCCTCGTCATTGTTCTCATTGTTTACCCCTACAATGGCACTCGATTTACCCTTTGACAAAAACACATTACCCTCTTCTTCATCTTCGTCATCATCGTCAAAATCCCAACTTAAATCCTCCTCTTCATCACCAGAAATCGCCCGTTTAACAAGCAAAGCCCTCGCTTCCTCTGCTTGTTTTAACTTGAACATCCTATAAAAATACCGGCTCCAAAAACTTCGATCATCAACTCTACTAGGCACAACCTCATTATAAATTTCATTAACCACCTCATTTTCGCCAATTAATCTCTTAATCTCTTCATTTTTTTCTTCAATCACAAAACCCTCTGATCTCCATTTCTCATAATCCTCCTTATCCCCAGGTTCACAACAATAAGTATCCAAATCACTTTGCAATGCGCGCGCTTGAGCATCAAAACGACTATATTTCACATCCAAAGATTGCCGTTTAAGCAAACTGCTTGCATCACTATCATGATCATGATCAACAGCTGAAAAAACTGAGTCCCTACCGTGAGAGATGATCTGGGCCGTTGATTTCCAAACGGTGGATCCAATATCGTCGATGGCTTGGCCGACGGACTCGAGAGACTCTTGAGCGACGGCGGCGCCGGTTTCAAAGGAAGCGGGGAGGTCGTGGACGGCACGCGAAGCGACATGACGGATGACGGCGGTTTCTTTCTTTAAACCGGATCCTAATTCTTCGATGTCTTTTTTATAGGTTTCGATCATGGATTCTGATTTGGTTGCTATGGTTTTGATTAAAGAGCCAAACGACCATGTGAGGTTTAGGGTTGGAGTGTCAGGCTCCGGGTTTGGGTTGTTGGGTGATGATTTGGGTGAGTCGGGCGGTGTAGGATCATCAGACTCCGAGAAGGCGGATTTGAAGAAATTCATTTGGAATTTTGGGAAAGAAGGTTTTTTAATTTGTTTTGTTTCCGACGCTTTTAGGGTTTTCTGTCACAGAGAGGAACCAAAGGACTGGAGTCTTGCTTTTGCACGGTAGAATTGATTTATTTATTTATTAGATGGAGTTTCTTTTGGACAGGGAAGAGGAAGAAGATGGATGGCTTTTTCCAGTTTTGGATAAATTAGAAATATTAGTACGATTAATTAACAGCCATCACATCGCGTTCAAAAATAGGTTACTTGATGACGCTATAAATATTTTTATTTATTATATCATAACAACTTATATCAGTTATCATTCAAAAATTAATTAATTAATTATATATACACTCACTTTTATTCATTTGAATTGCATTTTGATCCTGAGACAGCGGGATGAAAATTGAAAAGGGAGGTGGCAAGAGAGTAGGCGGTTGTGGTATTATCGACCGCATCTTCATAGAAAAAGAGTATCAAGGAGGTCGCTTCGATAAATAAAGTTAATTGGTATTCATAAAGAAACTCTTTTATGATCGGAGAGCGGAAATTGAAAACGACATCTATTTTTATTTCAAAATTTTGATTTCATTTTAAAACCATTTAAAGTGGATTATAATAGGCTTTAGAGTCAAAACGAGTTTATGGACATTGTGGAGACGAGTTTGAGATTTTTTTAATAAAAATAGATGTCGTTTCACCAAAAAAAAAATGCAGAAAATGATGAGTTGCTTCTTTTTTCTTAAAAAAAAAAAAAAAAACCCAAATTAAGTGTGTGGAGCTTTTAAATTTAGCTAAGTGCATCGTATGTTAGATTGAGAGAAAACAGATCTATTTCTCCTCGTTTCATCAAAAACAGAATTTTCACCTTGATTTACAATTTCATTGAGGTATTTCTATACATGATAGTTGATGTAATATACTTTTGATGGAAAAAAATTAGTGAGATTGAATTCTAAACCATTTTTGACCTGATTTGTTTAATGAAAAAACCAAATTGATTTTGAAAAAGGTTGACGAAACTAGGAATAATAGATGTAACATCTAATTTTGATTTCAAAAAAAATAACCATGTCATTCTAGTAAAATCATAGACTATAGTGAGAAAATAGTGATACTTACATTGAGCTGGTAATGAATAAGATCCTCATATATTAACATGAATAAGTTAAAAAAGAGTAGTAGTGTTGGAGGAATGAATAGGAAAAGAAGTCTTTTGTGTTTGGCCATTGGACATACAACAAAAGAATTTTTATTAAAATCGAATCATCATGTACATCAAAACAGATTTAATGAATAACATTCATCTTATCTAAAGGTGTATGTTCTAATCTAAAAAGTCAAAGATCAAAACAATCTTTGATATGAAGAACTACATTGGTGTTGATAGTAGGAACAAAAGAAGATTTAGACTTATTCTTGTGAAAAATAAAACGAATAAAAGACTAAAGAGGTACAAAATCTTCTAGTAAGTAAAGATCACTCGCTAACCTTAGTAAATCCAATCATTGTCCATAAATAAGTCAGGCTAAATAAAATAAGAATCACCATGAAAGTTAACGACAATTTGATCGAAAAAGTAAGTTTACCGGCAAATATTAGATTGAATTTGAAGGAAGAAATGTAGAGAATATTATGCAAAATGAGTTTAGTAAACAAATGTATTGTGCCGGAATGTGTAGCATACATTTTGGAACCATCCGGCATCAATACCAAAACATGGTCAATGGATTGATAAGTACTGAAAGAATTCAAACAAGTAATATGATATGAAACTTCGTGTCAACGATCTAAGATTTTTCATCTAAATGATATATCACATGTTTTATGAATTTTGTGCAACAATAATGTGAAGATTGAATAAGATTTTATGTGTCCAAGAAATTTATACCGTCATGTTAGATAAAGTAGAAGGAGGTAAAGTAGAATAAGGTTTAACCGATGCATCATGTTCATTGAGAAGAGTCATTAGTTGTTGAATTTGATGATGATTCAATGATACTTGTGACAATGAATTTGTAGCAGTATTAATTAAAGATGCATCATTACTTGTAGTAGCACAATTAGCATTCACATCCAAGCCTTGATCTCATTGTGTTGTCACAAAATTAACAACCGACCAATTACCTTTATTCCTTGTACATTTATTTGGAAAACCAATTAGTCAAAAACAACGTTCATTAGTATGACCAAACTTGCCATAATGAACACAAACAAATGATTTTCTAGGCTTATAACAACAATTTCCTCTTACTATCATTGCTCGAAGATTCTAAAAAAGGTTGGAATTGACATGTATAGTTCTTCGTGATTCTTCCGTAACCATCGGATTATACACTTCATCAAGAGCGAGGAAAAGGTTTTATTATAAGCATATGAGACCTTAATCCAACATAAGAATCATTCAAGATATTTAGAAAATGAAACATATAATCCTTTTATTGTAAATTGATAAATTTTTTAAAGCATTTTGAGTTACAATTTTCATACTTATAATGAGGTAATAACCTAAAACTCCTCAATTCCTCCCAAACGAATTTAACTCGATGAAATATTCATCAAAATTTTGATTGTCTTGATTAATGACACATAAAGCATATTATAGATTAAAAATTTTAGAATCATCTACTTGAGAAAAACACGTCTTAAGTACCTTTAAAATTTCTACAAATTGAATCCGGATAGAAAGAAATTGTAGTAATTAGAGAAGAGATTGAACGAAGAAGCCACAAAATAATAAGGTTATTGTATCACAACCATGGACCAAACATTACAATGTTCAGTAATCGGTGTTGTAATTGTTCCATCAATAAAATCAGTTTTGTTATGAATTGAAAGTGCAAGTAGAAACAAATGACTCCGGGATGCATAATTGCTTGAAGTTAGCTCAAAAAAAAAAACACAAGTGGTGTGATTATCTCGTTTGATAAATATGGAAAGGAGATTATTGATCTTCTACTAAAAAATTAGAATAGAATCCACCATTGATGAACTTCAAGAAGAAGAACTTTTGAGAAGAAGAAGAAAAGAAAGAAGACCTAATTGTTAGGCTTTGATACCACGTTAGATCGAGAGAAAATCAATCTATAAAATTATCTACTAACAACTCGTTGCTCTTAACAAAGGCAACCAACAAAACTAACAACCTTTCTAACTAACTTAATTGACTAATTAACCAAACAAATTACTAATTACAAACATAATAATTTATGGGATGTACACTTAAGCAAAAGAAGCCACATAAGCAAAAGGCAATAGACTTTTAATATCATGTTTAATTATTTTTTAAAAAAAGTTTTTTTCTTGCTTCGAGGATTAAAATTTTTATGGGATTTTACAATTAATTCTTACTCTTTAATTTTTAGATTTTTTTTTCATTTTTTTTAAAGTTCATTTGAGTTACATTTTAGTCCGTGGTATCCTTAGTGGAGATAGAAGACCAAAAATTGAAAAAAGAGTAGGCAGGATAGAGAAGTAGGTAGTTATGGTATTATCGACCATATTTTCAAAAAAGAAAAAGCATAAAAAAAATTATCTTGACAAGTGAAGTTGATTGGTGTCAATGCAAAATTCTTTCATGGCCATAAAATGGAGATCGAAGTCGTAATTCATTTTCATTTTAAGACTTTGATTTCATTTTAAGCCATTTAAAATAGATCATGATATGTTTTAGATTTGAGAATGAGCTTATAGATGTTGTTGAGTCTAAGGTTTTTTTTTATGAAAATGACGTTTTGAGAAGAATGGATAACTACCCTCAATCTATCAGTCCAATTCAATCATCAAAACACAAAAAGTCACTCGTCATTTGCTTTTAAAAAAGAAAAAGAAAAAAGCACTTGGGCCTCCAAAGCTTGGCCCAAGTGCATCGTGGCAAAGCCAAGATTCCAAGTTTAGTCCAACTACATTATGTATAGCCCTCCTAAGTTTACCCTGTGGTTGTTTTTTTTTTTTTCCCTTGAAGCACCAAGCTTAATTGTTTCTCTTTTTTCAATATATTTAGTTTTTAACTAGTATTGTCTCATGTGTTACACTTGCAGATAACGTATTGAAAATAAAAAGTGGAATATAAATGATTTAGAGTAGCATTGAAGAAATAATAAAGAAAACCAAAATCAAGAAATAATAAAACCTTCATAAACTAATTCAGACTTGTTAGTTCTAAGGATGCCCTTTTGCACTCTCCATAAAGTTACCTCATCTCCGACTTTTTAACGAGTAATGGTGTTTCTTAGTTCCATGTTTTCCTAAGTCATGTATCATAATCTCTTGTCAAGCTCCAATTGAAGAGCAAGTAGCCTCTTGAAAATGAAGAATTGTTCTAATGGTCTCCGTCATGAAGGGAAAATCAAGGAAAAAGAAAGCACTTAAGAGAGCTCCAATGTTGAGACAACTCCAAGCACCTAACCTTAACTTTGGAGGAATGAGGGAGGGAAGAAAACAAAAAATCCATGGACATTATACCAAATACTTTTTAAGAGCTTAGCTAAATGCTTTAACAAGATAGAGTATAAGAGGTTATGCTTACCACCAAGTCCATAGTTATGTTAAAAAGGAAAAAAAAAAAAGAGTTAGAGGGAGAGAATTAGAGATAAAAATATGGAAATACAAACACCATTTCGAATAATAGGATGTGAAAAAACCTTACTATCAATCTTCAAATGCTCTAATATCAAGATTTCCTTTTATCACAAAGATTGATCAGCCTAGAAGTAAAAATAACATAAACACAAACAAAAAAATACATAAATTATAGATTAATCAAAGAGGATAGAGCTCATAACAATCGTAACTTTAATTTCATTTTATTGCAACAAATATTCCTTCATATAAACAATACAATGCTTAGTTCAACATAACTAACCTTAAGTTTATATGTCCCCGCACTCATCTTTTAAGTTAAGCACAATAAAACTTTAGCAAACTCGGCTTCCATAAAAGGATCTAAAAACAACATTAGCACATTTGATTAGCCTATATATGGTATCACCGGAATATGTTGTGGCACCCTT